AAGACCTGCTTACTTTAAACCCATATTTGATCATAGCATACATAAGTGTACCAAGCATGGGGATTACATAGTAAGAAAATAGAAGGACAGATCAGAAGACTTGGGGAAAAAAATCTAGAATCCAGCTTTTTAAATGAACTACTGTTTTCCTCTATTCTTTACCTCAATTCCTAAACTAGGAAACATGGATCTAAATGCCTTGTGCACTGCAAGATGGGTGTGAGTCGCTCAGCCTCCACCGTGATTGCCTATGCAATGAAGGAATATGGCTGGAATCTGGACCGAGCCTATGACTACGTGAAAGAAAGACGAACAGTGACCAAGCCCAACCCCAGCTTCATGCGACAACTGGAAGAATACCAGGGGATCTTGCTGGCAAGGTGAGTCCTTCAGTGATTTTCTTAAATTTTCCCTTCTTTATAATAAGGCAAGGTAAATGTCCTTCTCAACAGGTAATAATTCTCAGCCTAATTTGGGTGTGATCTTTTTCTTAACTTGGTCTTCTTTCTCTGTCAAAGTTTCAGATAATAAGGACTGGGAATGTGGCTCAGTGGTAGAATATTTTTTCTTAGTTTGCACAAGGCCCTGAATTTGATCCCAGCACTGAAAAAAAGAATTTAAATAAGTATAAGCATTTAAGATTAGTGTGGAAGATTAGGCATTTAGTCTTTCAGAGTCATATTAGGTTGATATAAACTAAAAGATGAAAATACTATTAGTTCTCAACAAGGTACAGATTTTAATAAGTACTTCTCAATATCTATTTTTGTTCTTTATAAATATACATGACAATAGAGTGTATTTGGTGGGAATACTGGGTATTAAACTCAGGGGCACTTGGCCACTGAGCCACATCCCCAGCCCTATTTTGTATTTTATTTAGAGACAGGGTCTCACTGAGTCACTTAGTGCGTCACTTTTGCTGAAGCTGCTTTGACCTCGAGTTCCTCCTGCCTCAGCCTCCTGAGCCACTGGGATTACAGGCAGGTGCCACCATGCCCTGCCCAGTAAAGTATATTTTGACACATTATACATACATGGAGTATAACTTATTCTAATTAGGATCCATTCTTTTTGTTTGTTTGTTTGTTTGAGGAGTTTTTTTATTCTAATTATACATGATAACAGGATGCATTTCAATTCATTGTACACAAATGGAGCACCATTTTTCATTTCTCTGGTTGTACATGGTGAAGTGTCACACCATATGTGCAGTCATACATGTAAGTAGGGTAATGATGTCCATCTCATTCCACCATCTTTCCTGCCCCCATGTCCCCTCCCTTCCCAGGATCCCATTCTTGTGGTTGTACGTGATGTGGAGTTTCACTGGTCACGTATTCATACTTGAACATGGGAAAGTTATGTTCAATTCATTTTATTGTCTTTGCCATTCCCATCCCCCCTTCCCTTCATGCCCTTTGGCTAATTCAATGAACTTCTATTCTTCCCTCCCCTACCCTTATTCTATGTTAGCTTCTACATATCAGAGAAAACATTTGGCCTTTGGTTTTTTGGGATTGGCTTATTTCAGTTAACATGATAGTCTCCAGTTCCATCCATTTACCAGCAAATGCCATAATTTCATTATGGCTAAGTAATATTCCACATTTTCTTTATCCGTTCATCTGTTGAAGGGTGCCTAGGTTGGCTCCATAGCTTAACTATTGTGAATTGAGCTGCTGTAAAAATTGATGTGGCTGCATCACTGTAGTATGCTGAGTTTAAGTCTTTTGGGTATATACTAAGGAATGGGATAACTGGTTCAAATGGTGGTTCCATTCCAAGTTTTTTAAGGAATCTCCATACTGCTTTCCATAGTGGTTGTACCAATTTGCAGTCCCACCAGCAATGTGTGAGAGACTTCTCAGTATCTTAAAAGGTAGAACATAGCTGCTTTATCAAAATGATACCATTTACTCCTAAGGTAATACTGAATTAGGCTTAGCTGAAATTCTTGGAAATTTTTTGGCCCATTGTGTTTAAAAAAAAAAAAAAAACCTGCTATTACTTTGGGTATTTTTTTTTCTTCAGTACCTGACTTCACTGAGCCCTTTCTAGTAATTTTGGTCATGTGGAAGATGTGTATAATTTGTGTATAATTTCATGTGTATGTGATACTTCCCAGAAACAGCTCTTTCTTATTTTCTTAAAAAAAAAAAAAAAAGCTTTTAATCTAATTATACACATATGTATGTTGCAAAAATGCAGAAAATTATAATGGGATAAATAACATATAAGCTCAATACTCGGTCAGCAGCTGACATTACATTACCTGGTTTCTAGGTTTTATCACATATTTTTAAAAGCATTTTTTTTACACAATACTTTTATTTTGTTTGTTTATTTTTATGTGGTGTTGAGGATCAAACCCAGGGCCTCACGCATGCTAGGCAAGCGCTCTACCGCTGAGCCACAACCCCAGCCCCTTTATCACATATTTTGATGGATATTTTTTTCCACAAAAACTGTTTTACAACCTGCCTCTCCATCCAGTACAGGTCTTGAATATATTCCTGTATCAATAAGAGTCAGCTGTTTTAAAGTACAACTTGGTAAATGGTTACTAAAATGAGTAATTAATTTCACTACATTATTACCCTTTTACAGGTGAAAAGCACCTTCAGCTGTTCTTGGGAACAAGTGCCAGATTTTAGATGACTTGAGGATCAGTTTCTTCAGATACCACATACTGAAATTTTATGGGCTGCTAGATTTTGCTTTGTTGTTTTCCATGTAGGCATGTTCTAGGTGGTTTTGTTAGGGTGAAGGCACAGCTGTCTAGAAGCAGTTGGGGTTGGTGCCAGGGTTTTATTCCAGCAAGTCCCATGACTTGGTCTTGACTCTTGAATCTGGGCTGTATTTCCCCTGAACAAAATGTTAAATAGCCTTCCAGCCTATCCAGGCAGAGGGACCACCCTCCCACCCGCAAAGTATTGTGAAAATGTGGCCACAGCATAGCATTATGGTTTCCACTAAAAAACCCCTCCCATTTACTCAGCACTTGGCATGATTTCATCTGAGCCATTCTTCTAGCAGGCTGGAGAATACTGAAACCTCTTCTGTTTTTGAAAAAAAATTTATAGGTCTTTAGGGCCAGATTTTGATGATGCTTTTCAATTAAATCAGAAGATAGGACACAGAAATCCTTTTTGGCATAAGAAAGAGGCATCTAAAGGTTTGATGAGACATGAATATATATTCACAGACATACCCATGACAGATATTAGGCAATGTCCTCACGTGACCCATGAGAGGAAAGATACTATGTGTCCTGCCAATTTCAGTATTTATTCTGGAATCCCAGGCTACTGCAAGCTGTTGGGCTAAGTTTTTTAGCATATGTGGTTTTTCTTAGATGTTAAAGAAATTTCAGAAAAATCTTAAATGAGGATAAGTAGAACAGCATAAACCCCCAAATCACCCTTCCTCTTCCCTTTCCCTTTCTTTTTCTGTTCCATCCTAATTTCCTGGGCTTGATTCACGGAGGGAGGGCAAGCCCGTGGGAGAGAAAACCACAGAAGTTGAGTCAGTAGATCTGGTTTCCGTTCCTGGTTCACCCTGTTGCTACAGCCCTGAGAAGTTACTTCACATTTCTGATCCTCACTTGACCCCATCTATAAAATGTAAATCAAGAGCTCTACCTCACAAGATTATTGTGAGTTAAAATGTGTATAAATGTTTACTATGTATTGTTGAAGATTATTTCTCATCAACTCCTTTCTCCAGGGTTACCCAGAAAATATGCACGTGCCATTTATTTCCTCCCCCATGACATCAACAACTGCCTCCCACCACCCATAAGCACACTAACTCTACAGAAACTAGAAGGGGAAATGTTCCTGGAATTTCCTGTATTGTGATATTTCCTGGATTTTAAGTACTAGAGTCCAGTGTAGAAGTGTCATTTAGGCTGCTTTTGGCTCCAAGTAGTAGAATACCTCCATCAATCAGGATCTCAGCAAGAAATAACACATTCAAGCCTGGCACATTGGCACATGCCTGTAATCCCAGATGCTTGGGAGGCTGAAACAGGAGGCTTGCAAGTTCAAAGCCAGCCTCAGCAATTTAGCAAGACCCTGTCTCAAAATATAAAATAAAAAAAGCTGAGGATGTGGCTTGGTGGTTGAGCACCCCTGGGTTTAGTCCCTGTTACCAAAAACAAAAGAAATGAAGGAAGGAAAGAAAAAAAATAGTACACTCAGATTAGGGTTATTGAAGGAAAGTTTTATAAAGGACCTATTTACAAAGATGGGGCATTTTAGCAGAATCAAGGGAGTTGTATCTGCAGAGCTGTTTGGTAATAATGCCTGTTCCAAAGAGAGAGACCCCATTTACTAGAAACTGAAAGGATATCCTATAGAAAAAGTACCTTCAGAAACAAGCAATAACCTTCAATCAAAGGGATATAGCTAGTCTGAGGTGCCCAACCCTCAGGGTCTTTCTTCCAATGCCCTTCTGAGGCTTCCCATTAGGCAAACCCTGTGAGAGAAGAGGACCTCCTATGGTCCATTCATCAGCCTCCAATGCAGAGAGAAGAAATAAGAATCTGAAGAGCATACTCATAGAGACAAATAGAAGATATCCTGCCCAATACCCCACTACATGTAGTTTTAGAAGTTAGACCATTTATCACCTCCTCTAACAAAAGCACAGAAATAGACTCAAATGGCCTGATAGTAATGTAATCAGGGACTTTGATATGTACCTCTTTTTGCTCTACCTGCCTCAGTTAATGATTTGGTTCCTTAGGTTGTCTCCATGTGATTGCTAGATGTCTGCTATGTTTGTAGACATTTACATGTAAATTGCCAGCATATGGCTGAAGGAAAAGGACATTTAAATGAGGGAGAATGACTTTTCCCAGAAGCTCCCATAGACTTCCTCTGGGAACTGGGGTTGGAGAGAGTGGGTCTTATGCCCAAAGCTGGTCACTGGCAAGGGAAATAGGATTTCTATGATTTGGCTAAAATATATTCACATTTAATCCTCTAGAGAAGTGTCACATTCCCTGGTCCTATGGGACAGGAACACCCAAACCAAATTATGCCCGTATACACATAGGTATACAGCCATTAGGGTCTGCAGTGCATGATGTGTTATCCAGTAACCTTGGCACTTGAAGGTTAACTGTGAGGTAAATTGTGCTAAGCTGACTCTTGCCTATCCCCAAAGTCCTGTACCAGGCAGGACCTGATGCTTAAAACACTGGCAGTGGTGGCGGCTGATTGTTGTTGTTGTTGCTGCTGCTGCTGTTGCTGTGGGGTCTTGCTCAATTACTGAGGCTGGTCTCAAATTTGCAATTCCTCTGCCTCAGCCTCCTGAGTTTCTAGGATTACACATGTGCACCACTGTACCTTGCCACCTGCCTGTTTAGAAG